ATAAATTATATATATTAAAATTATATATACATGTATTATATATATGTACATACTATGTATATAGATAATGAGCAAATATATCTTCTTAGCACTCTAGAAACAGAAGGGAGGGACAAAACCCTAAATATCCTTTCTATCAACAAGAAACCCAAAGAGCCCAGGGGATAAAAAACAACCTTCTGGATATTCTTCTTTGTGTCCCACTCAACCTCAGGGAGTGCCCAGGCTGAAGCCCAAGAGGAAAGGGCTCGCACACAGAAAGGAAAAACATGTGGTGTCTCCCGAGGGCTCAGCCAGCAGCCCCTGGTTTACAGGACTGAAGGCTGCCCTCCAACGAGCAGTCCCCTCCCTCCCTTCCCCACCTGCCTCCAACCCAGCCGGCCCCGGAGCGGCAGCCACCGGGCATCAACCCCGCACAGAGCGCAGCGCCCCCCTCCTGTTCGTTCTCCACCCAAGGAGCCACCCAACACTGATTCCAGAAGGGAGGGTCAGCACTACGCACTGGGCAGCCCATGTAGGCGGAGTTGTGGACGCCGGGAGGCCTCTTGTAAGTGCCGTCGCTGTCTGTGGTGATGAGCCTGTCCTTCTCTGCGTCTCCGGGGCAGCCGTTGACCTGGTGCTTCCGGCGGGCCTTGGGAGAACGTTTCATCCGCGAGCTGCCGGGAAAAGGGAGGTTACCTTCGGAGGGAAGAACCCTTCCTGCCGCTGGCTTCGCAACTCAATGCTAAGCAGTTTCTGAGCACCTCTGACTGCTGGTCACTGCAGCAAACACCCACAGGATATAAACACTGTGTAGGAGACAGTCTCGGCTCCAAGGAAGCTCACTGTCTACCTGGGCAGACCACAGCAACACAAGGAGCCACGGAGAGCAATCCGAGGCAATACTAGTACGTACTCATGATGTTAGTTACGCGGACACGCAGAAAAGGGGCGGTCAATGTGAGCTACTGAGCCATCGCTGGCTACGTGGGGCCTGAGCTGCGTCTTGAAGAGCAAATGGGGTCTGCAGATAGGGAGTGATGTGGGAAGAGGGTGTGGGGTGCAGGCACGACCACACCGAGGGCCAGAAGTGGAAATGCAGATGAAGGTTTGGGGGCGACGAGGCCACCAGCTAACGGAGTGGCAGGTCTGACGCTGTGCGGAGACAGGCGGCCCCGCCTGTTACGGGCACACAGGCAGCACGGGGAACCATCACAGGTTTTTAGCAGAGAAAGGCGTAACTGAGAGCAGTGCTTAAGAAAATGCATCCGTGTTGCTCTGGCCAGTGTGGCTCAGTTGGTTGAGCGGCACCAAAAGGTTGCCGGCTTGATTCCCAGTCAGGGCACATGCCCGGCTTGGGAGCTTGATCCCTGGTAGGGGGTGTGGAGGAGGCAACTGATTGATGTTTCCCTCTCACATCAATATTTCTTTCTCTCCCTCTCCCTTCTTCTCTCTCTAAAAATCTTTTTTAAAAAAAAAAGACATTGCATCTGTGTTAGGGGGCAGGAGTCTGAGAGGCAAAGGGGAAGGTAAGCCCCAAAACTCGGAGGGTGGCTGTGGGACAAGAAATGAGACATCCACCTGTGCTGACCCAGTGGCCACCTAGGACAGTGAGGGCGAGCCTATGACCCGCGTGTCAGAGGTGACACGCGTGTCAGAGGTGACACGCGAACTCATTTTTTTGGTTGATTTTTCTTTGTTAAATGACATTTAAATATTTAAAATAAATATCAAAAATATAAGTCTTTGTTTTACTATGGTTGCAAATATCAAAAAATTTCTATATGTGACACGGCACCAGAGTTAAGTTAGGGTTTTGCAAAATGCTGACACGCCGAGCTCAAAAGGTTCGCCATCACTGACCTAGAGGGTATTAT